GGCATCATTATATTTTATATAACTAAGTGGAACATGAATAAACAGGACAGCCTACAGCAACATTATTTGGGCATTCATAAACAAATAATAAATCTCAGTGAAAATATAGTCCTTATTTACATTAATATTATCTAGTATTAATTCACAATGACCAGAGGTGTAAGTCTGCAGCATAAAAGTATTACTCAGTTTAGGTTTACAGTCCCAGTGACATAAGCTTTAAAATCTGAGTAAAAATAAATTCCAAGTCAATTTTATGTAATTTCAGGATTGCTGAAATATTCTCATAGAATATTTGCTAAAGCGACAAAAACAAAATGATTAAGCAAAATATTCTACACCAGGAATGAGATATATTTCCAGTATGGTAATAATGATTAAAGAGCCTAAGACGGTAAGATAACTGAACAATACAGTGGTAACCAACCAGAGCTAGAATATATGAAACAATACAGGATAATATTCTCGAAGCTTTGTCGTCTGCTAGTTATCATTACCACGTACTTATTATTAAGAGAATTAGATACCTCTATAATATTCAACTCGTCATGAACCACACAAGAAATCCAGCAGCATTTTTATTATTTAGAAAACTTTATTTGACATAGTGAGCCTGGCCTCGGGCAGTTTTCCCTCCTTTTAAATGTCTGAGAACCCACGAGACAGAGAGAGAGAGAGAGGTGTGGTCCTTGAACTGTTTTCCTCTCTTACTAGTGTGGTCCTTGAACTGTCTTCCTCTCTTACTAGTGTGGTCCTTGAACTGTCTTCCTCCTCTTACTAGTGTGGTCCTTGAACTGTCTTCCTCTCTTACTAGTGTGGTCCTTGAACTGTCTTCCTCTCTTACTAGTGTGGTCCTTGAACTGTCTCCCTCTCTTACTAGTGTGGTCCTTGAACTGTCTTCCTCTCTTACTAGTGTGGTCCTTGAACTGTCTCCTCTCTCTTACTAGTGTGGTCCTTGAACTGTCTCCTCTCTTACTAGTGTGGTCCTTGAACTGCTCTCCCTCTCTTACTAGTGTGGTCCTTGAACTGTCTCCCTCTTACTAGTGTGGTCCTTGAACTGTCTCCCTCTCTTACTAGTGTGGTCCTTGAACTGTCTCCCTCTCTACTAGTGGTCCTTGGCTTCTCTCCTCTCTCTTACTAGTGTGGTCCTTGAACTGTCTTCCTCTCTTACTAGTGTGGTCCTTGAACTGTCTTCCTCTCTTACTAGTGTGGTCCTTGAACTGTCTCCCTCTCTTACCAGTGTGGTCCTTGAACTGTCTCCCTCTCTTACTAGTGTGGTCCTTGAACTGTCTCCCTCCCTTACTAGTGTGGTCCTTGAACTGTCTTCCTCTCTTACTAGTGTGGTCCTTGAACTGTCTCCCTCTCTTACTAGTGGCCTTGAACTATCTCCCTCTCTTACTAGTGTGGTCCTTGAACTGTCTCCCTCTCTTACTAGTGTGGTCCTTGAACTGTCTCCCTCTCTTACTAGTGTGGTCCTTGAACTGTCTCCTCTCTTACTAGTGTGGTCTTGAACTGTCTTCCTCTCTTACTAGTGTGGTCCTTGAACTGTCTTCCTCTCTTACTAGTGTGGTCCTGAACTGTCTCCTTCTCTTACTAGTGTGGTCCTTGAACTGTCTTCTCTCTCTTACTAGTGGTCCTTGAACTGTCTTCCTCTCTTACTAGTGTGGTCCTTGAACTGTCTCCTTCTCTTACTAGTGTGGTCCTTGAACTGTCTTCCTCTCTCTTACTAGTGTGGTCCTTGAACTGTCTTCCTCTCTTACTAGTGTGGTCCTTGAACTGTCTTCCTCTCTTACAGTGTGGTCCTTGAACTGTCTCCTTCTCTTACTAGTGTGGTCCTTGAACTGTCTTCCTCTCTTACCAGTGTGGTCCTTGAACTGTCCCTCCTTACTAGTGTGGTCCTTAAACTATCTCCCTCTCTTACTAGTGTGGTCCTTGAACTGTCCCTCTCTTACTAGTGTGGTCCTCAAACTGTCTCCTCTCTTACTAGTGTGGTCCTTGAACTGTCTTCCTCTCTTACTAGTGTGGTCCTTGAACTGTCTCCTTCTCACTTACTAGTGTGGTCCTTGAACTGTTTTCCTCTCTTACTGTGTGGTCCTTGAACTGTCTCCCTCTCTTACTAGTGTGGTCCTTGAACTATCTCCCTCTCTTACTAGTGTGGTCCTTGAACTGTCCCTCTCTTACTAGTGTGGTCCTTGAACTGTCTCCCTCTTTACAGTGGTCCTTGAACTGTCTCCCTCTCTCTTACTAGTGTGGTCCTTGAACTGTCTTCTCTCTTTAGTGTGGTCCATGAACTGTCTTCCTCTCTTACTAGTGTGGTCCTTGAACTGTCTCCTTCTCTACTAGTGTGGTCCTTGAACTGTCTTCCTCTCTTACTAGTGTGGTCCTTGAACTGTCTCTCCTCTACTAGTGTCCTTGAACTGTCTCTCTCTTACTAGTGTGTGGTCCTTGAACTGTCTTCCTTCTACTAGTGTGGTCCTTGACTATTGTCCTCTTACTATGTGGTCCATGAACTGTCTTCCTCTTACTGTGTGGTCCTTGAACTGTCTCTTTCTCTTACTAGTGTGGTCCATGAACTGTCTTCCCTTCTACTAGTGTGGTCCATGAACTGTCGTCCTCTTACTAGTGTGGTCCTTGAACTGTCTTCCTCTACTTCAGTGTGGTCCTTGAACTGTCTCCTTCTCTTACTAGTGTGGTCCATGAACTGCCTCCTCTCTTACTAGTTGGTCCTTGAACTGTCCCCTTCTTTACTAGTGTGGTCCTTGAACTGTCTTCCTCTCTTACTAGTGTGGTCCTTGAACTGTCTTCCCTCTTACTAGTGGTCCTTAACTTCTTCCTCTTACTAGTGTGGTCCTGTCTCCCTTCTCTTACTAGTGTGGTCCTTGAACTGTCTTCCTCCTCTACTAGTGTGGTCCTGAACTGTCTCCCTCTTTACTAGTGTGGTCCTTGAACTATTCCCCTCTTACTAGTGGGTCCTTGAACTGTCTCCCTCTCTACTAGTGGTCCTGAACTGCTCCCTCTCTTACTAGTGTGGTCCTTGAACTGTCTTCCTCCTCACTAGTGTGGTCCTTGAACTGTCTTCCTCTCTACTAGTGTGGTCCTTGAACTGTCTCCTTCTCTTACTAGTGTGGTCCTTGAACTGTCTTCCCTCTTACTAGTGTGGTCCTTGAACTGTCTCCTCTTACTAGTGTGGTCCTTGAACTTACCTCTCTTACTAGTGTGGCCTGCTCCCTCTTACTAGTGTGGTCCTTGAACTGTCTCCTCTCAGTGTGGTCCTTGAACTGTCTTCTTACTAGTGTGGTCCTTGAACTGTCTCCTTCTCTTACTAGTGTGGTCCTGAACTGTCTTCCTCCTCTTACTAGTGTGGTCCTTGAACTGTTCCTCTCTTACTAGTGTGGTCCTGAACTGCCTCCCTCTTACTAGTGTGGTCCCTGAACTGTCTCCCCTTACTGGTGGTCCTTGAACTGTCTTCCTCTCTTACTAGTAGTCCTTGAACTGTCTCCCTCTTACTAGTGTGGTCCTTGAACTGTCTCCCTCTCTTACTAGTGTGGTCCTTGAACTGTCTTCCCTCTTACTAGTGTGGTCCTTGAACTGTTCCCCTCTCTTACGGTGTGGTCCTTGAACTGTCTTCCTCTCTACTAGTAGTCCTTGAACTGCCTCTACTAGTGTGGTCCTTGAACTGTCTTCCTCTCTTACTAGTGTGGTCCTTGAACTGTCTCTATCGTTCCTTCCCTTCCCTCTCTCCTGCCTCTCTTCTCTAGCAGCGGGTGAGCATGTTAAGTGTGTTTGTGTTAACAGGTTGGTGGTCGTGAACACCTTCTGGTAACTTTTTAGTCTCCAACCACTAGAGAATAAATCATAACTGAAGCAGCTCCCAGCCAGGGTAGTGAGCCCCCCCCCCCTCTCTCTCTCTCTCTCTCTCTCTCTCATCTGGCAGGAGTCTCAAGTACATATAAATTTAATACTGTAATACAAAGAGGCTTACTAAGGCCTGAGGAAGGAAGTGCGCCACCATTTACAGCTTGTTCACCTCCACTATTTGTTTGTGATAATGCAGAAACGAATAAATCATTACAGTGTTAAAACTTGAAAATGAAGAGTTAGACAGAGTAACTACACTAGTCATACGGTACTGGAAGCTGTAGTGACTAGTAGGCAGGATAGGAAGGCCAAGGGGTGGAGGTGGCCGACGAGGAAGAGTCCTGCTTAGTTTAGTCACGTCGGGTTAACACACGAAGGCAGATTAACCAATTACTTAAGAGCATCATGGAGTAGGTAGCGCTGGAGGAAGCTAGACCACCCCCCCCCCCCCTCTCTCTCTCTCTCTCTCTCTCTCTCTCTCTCTCTCTCTGCAAGGCACTTACCAACTTTTAAACTCCTCAAAACTCTCATCTGTTCCCCAGAACCTTAAGTGTTTCTCATCAGAACAACATTTAAAGTAATTGATAACCGCGGGAAGTTTATATAGTTTTAACTTACAACTGAAGCTTTTGTAATTCAGGAAAACTACATGCTTAGAAAATCCCCTTGGCGACAACACCACCAAACCACAACACACTTCACAAACCAACACACTCTTGCACGGATATATATACTGTATATAAAGCATCATATACAAATAAAGACATTGGTATTATGCTCGTCTGCCGTGCGTTTACCTGAGTAACATATCATCATAATAACAACAACAGGTGAAGGTCCACACTTGCTAGGGTTCACCGTTGACACAAGATAAGGATGAGTCAGAGAGGGTTTGTGTCTCACTTGATGGTAACGTACCTGAACACTGCGTCAGCTGAACCAGCCTGCGTGGTTCACTGATGTCTGCTATACTGAAGGAATTATCGCTAATTAAGTTTAAGTAGTTCTTAAAGACCTTTATGGCAGTTCAGGGAACCTATCTCGCACACGACACCACGCAAGATGACTTATAGATAATATATATAATGATATTGAGGAGGTGATCTCACCACCACCACCACCACCACCACACCACCAGAAGGATGGTGTGTCTTACCAAGACCACTAACTCTGACTCGGCCACCACCACATTTGACCCGGCCACCACTAACTCTGACTCGGCCACCACCACATTTGACCCGGCCACCACTAACTCTGACTCGGCCACCACCACATTTGACCCGGCCACCACTAACTCTGACTCGGCCACCACCACATTTGACCCTGCCACCACTAACTCTGACTCGGCCACCACCACATCTGACCCGGCCACCACTACCTCTGACCTGACTACTACCACCACTAGCCCGGCCCCGGCCACCACCTCCTATGGTCCGACCAACAGTATCAGTGTGTGTGTGTGTGTGCAGTGTATTCCAAGTCACTTGTTTTCTCACAGCCGACGTTAAGGTGTTGTTTGGACGCTGAGGAAATAAGTAGTCGTTCTTGTGTGTGTGTGTTACAGGTCATGGAGTCTTACAGTGCATTACCTCGGGAGCAACACTGTCTCTCCCACACTGAAAAAAAATAGTTAGGTGAAGAAACGATGTTGGAATTTTCTTGTTATTTTCTTTGTGTGAAATAAAGTGTCTCAGTTTATAGTCATGTAACGTTATTTGGGGGAGATCTTGGTGATGGTGCCTTTAGCCAGGCTCCACTCTTCTACCACCAGCCAGGCTTCACCCCTCTACCACCAGCCAGGCTCCACCCCTCTACCACCAGCCAGGCTCCACCCCTCTACCACCAGCCAGGCTCCACCTCCCACCAGGCTCACGCTCCACCCTTCTACCACCAGCCAGGCTCCACCCTCTACCACCAGCCAGGCTCCACCCTTCTACCCCAGCCAGGCTCCCCCTCACCACCAGCCAGGCTCCACCCCTCTACCACCAGCCAGGCTCCACCCCTCTACCACCAGCCAGGCTCCACCCTTCTACCACCAGCCAGGCTCCACCCCTCTACTCCCAGCCAGGCTCCACCCTCTACCACCAGCCAGGCTCCACCCCTCTACCACCAGTCAGACTCCACCCTCTACCACCAGCCAGGCTCCACCTCTACCACCAGCCAGGCTCACCCTCTACCACCACTAGTCAGGCTCCACCACTAGTCAGGCTCCACCAACTGATACCTGAAGCCCCCCTCTCTCTCCTCCACCAAGCACCAGCAGGGAGTACGTAAAGGTCTTTATATCCAGACTTACTTAACCTTTATAACCTCTATGGGACATTTTCTTCCCAGACACTCACAGGTTTCATGTCTGATAATGGCGACGTAGGTTAAGTGAGAAATACGTTTGGATACAACACATTATTTAAATTTACATGAAAAGTTTGTAAATAAAGCGTAAGGTGTCAGTGATGGAGTGAACACTGTGGGGGGGGGGGGTGTCAGTTGTTCATGTGTGGGTGTACAGTACGTGTGAGGTAAAAACTGCATTATTTTATGAGTTTCTTGTAAGTTGTATAATTTGTTGATTTTTTTTTTACATAGATTTCTTGTATAAAGTAACTGAAATTTTATGTTGTTGTGTTGAAGCGGCTTTACCTTGTATGCCTCGAGTTACTGTGGGTCTAAGTAAACTACAGTAGTACTAGGTTTCTTTGTTGACGTCGCACCCGAGGCCTAGTGATATTTGTTTTTTTCCGGGAATTACTTCTATACTGTACAGGAGTTACGTTAAGTATATTGTATGGAGGATGACTACCATATCGCTGAAGAAATAAATGATTGGGGTTGACATTTAAACATCTAATGAACTTTTATGTTGCAATATGATATAAAACTTCTGGTGAGTTTCATTCACTGCCATATTTTTGTAACACTCTTTGGTCTCAGACGACGTACTTTACAAGAATCAGCTTTGAGGTCAAGTGCTGGTCCTACTGTTTTCCTCTCTTGATCATTTAAGTATTTACCGAAGATAATTCAGTATATTGTTTCGATAGTTTGGAAGGATTCACGTGGTCGAATTATTCAATGCGGTGACGAGTATTATGAAAGAGGGATTGTGTTGTTGATAATATTTTGTTATTGTTTATCTATTTGTGTGTTTATTATCTGGTAGGCAATGTATAATAAAAATGTTACCGTTAATTTACAATATATACTTCATTGAGGAATTCATTTTGTCTTATTTTTTATAATCGCTTCACTTACTATAATCACCTGTTTGATACACAATCCTTCAGGGAATAACTGGTCGTTGACTCTTGGACCAGCTGGTGTGTTGCTGCTGCCTGCCGGTAACTGAGTCTGACGCTAGTTTACCGGCCGGATATTAACCTTCGACGAGGCTCCGTCTTTTACTCCCAGCAAGTTACTGACTTACTGAGGCAGCAGCTGAGCTTTATCATCTCAGCTGAACGCGTTTCTGTCTTACTGAGGCATCAACTAAGTTTGATTAACTTGGGTAAATATTGTCATGCTTTACCGAGATATTAATTGAGTTCTATTAACTCAGGTGAACGTACCTATGTTTTGTTGAACTCCCTTTAACTTGTAAGGCTGTGCACCTGCCGTGTTATCTGTGTATACACTGTTGAACAATCTGAACAAGTAATCTGAAGCTTGTGATCGTGTTTGCAAAAAATAAATGACACAAGTACCGGAGAGAGAGATAAGTAGTATGAGAGTTTGTATAGAAGAATATGAAACAGGGGAACACGTAACAACATAATCGAACACTACTAAAACGAGAAGGAACTCGACTGAACACGACACAAAACAAGAAAGGAGAATATTGATCACGTGGAAGAACACATTTTACCAAGGGAATTGACGCCTGATAAATTGTCAACTGTAAATATATACAACGCGCCTCCCCTCCTTGGCGGTCCTGTTTGTATAGTTAATATACAGTATACTGCAAAAAGCCGTCATGTAGCGCATCATCTGGTTAGTGGTGGTAATCACACTTTAAGTAGTCAGCCTAGCCTAATATAACTCATTAACGTATAAGGATCAGAGGAAGCATTAGGCCACATGGTGCTGTAACTCGTCCATAGGTGTTGACATAAAGGACCTCACGTGGTCATGGAGACATGGCACCATGTGGTGTGGTGTGTTGTCACTGTACCTCACTCGCTGCCAAGTGGTGTTGTGTTATTTCATGGTGAGGTTTAAAGCCGACCCTCGGTTGTTCCCAGAGTGGACTGATTAACACTATAATGCCTGGTCAGGAGATGGTGGTCGGTTCCCAGGGGCGGTTATCTCTGGTTGTTAGGACGGTCAACTTAGTCACGACTGTCGGCTGCCACTCTTTAGTACTGACTTCAATGGCTCAAACACTAGCACACCACAAGGCTCTATAGTACTAGAGAAGTGTCATCGTATAGTCTGGTGCACCACAAGGCTCTATAGTACTAGAGAAGTGTCATCGTATAGTCTGGTGCACCACAAGGCTCTATAGTACTAGAGAAGTGTCATCGTATAGTCTGGTGCACCACAAGGCTCTATTGTACTAGAGAAGTGTCATCGTATAGTCTGGTGCACCACAAGGCTCTATAGTACCAGGTGTTCAACACTCATTCCACTCTTTTCCGAAACGAAGTTGTCTTTTGATGGGTTTTGCCGACATCCTAGTGGGGAGGAGGGGTCGAGGGGAAGGAGTTGGGGTATGGGTCAACAATTTGCCCTGGCAGCTCCCGCAGCAGCACGGAATAGGTCTTGACATGTTGACTGTCACTAACATGTGTCCAAATACTAGTGTAAGAGATGGAGATTCGTGCACTTTATAACGAAGTCATTGACCAACACCAAGGTCCTTGTGTGTGCATTACAAGTTTATTGTGAGAGTCATAACCATAACTGAATTAAGTAGTGGACAAGTGGTGAAGATTCATTGCTTCACAATTGTGTTAGTTATTAACATGAACGATGTTCGCCAACATATCAGCTTAAATAATAAAGGTTCTTGTGTTTCTGTTTGTCATGTTTGCTGTGTTGCTGTGGCCACCTCATACTTGATTCATCATGTTGCCAACTCAAAATTACTCAGCACTGTTGGACTCACGATTGTACCTTTAATAATGACACCTTTGAGTTGGTCGTCAAAGGAGTTGAAGGTGTTAAGTTTCTCTCTTCTGTTAAAATACAAGACAATACATACATAGTTGAAGGTGGAGTGGTGAAGATATTATATTAAATAACGAAATTTATAAATGAATTAGGGACTATGGGGATACACGCCTCTACATAACAGTAAATCCTCGCTTTTATTGTGTTATGGGACGTGTTCCAACAAACCCATCATAATTATACACAGCAGTAGTTGATAAGGATGTTGAACTTTAACCTCTGGTTGTGAGGCGGATCTATCTATGTATTGAACGTAAAGGTCAAACTATGATGTATAAGCCATTAAACCTCCAGTGCTCAGGCGTCACACACAGGAGACACACTACCCTAACACGTACAACAGCTTCAACAACTAAAACAACACGAGCAACAACGTCAACAGTAGCAAAGCCAACATCAGCTACACCTTTTGGTTATCAGCATATATATGTTGTTATATGTAGTGATGATGGTGTGGTGTTATATGTAGTGATGATGGATGGTGTTATATGTGGTGATGATGGATGGTGTTATATGTAGTGATGATGGATGGTGTTATATGTAGTGATGATGGATGGTGTTATATGTAGTGATGATGGGTGGTGTTATATGTAGTGATGATGGATGGTGTTTATAGTGATGATGGATGGTGTGCTGATGGATGGTAGTGATGATGGATGTGTTATATGTAGTGATGATGGGTGGTGTTATATGTAGTGATGATGGATGGTGTTATATGTAGTGATGATGGATGATGATGTTATATGTAGTGATGATGGATGTTGTTATATGTAGTGTTGATGGGTGGTGTTATATGTAGTGATGAGGATGGTGTTATATGTAGTGATGATGGATGATGTTATATGTAGTGATGATGGATGGTGTTATATGTAGTGATGATGGATGGTGTTATATGTAGTGATGAGGATGGTGTTATATGTAGTGATGATGGATGGTGTTATATGTAGTGATGATGGATGATGTTATATGTAGTGATGATGGATGGTGTTATAGGTAGTGATGATGGATGGTGTTATATGTAGTGATGATGGATGATGTTATATATAGAGATGATGGAGGTGTTATATATAGTGATGATGGATGGTATTATATATAGTGATGATGGATGGTGTTATATGTAGTGATGAGGGATGGTGTTATATGTAGTGGTGATAGATGGTGTTATATGTAGTGATTATTGATGATGTTATATATAGTGATGATGGATGATGTTATATATAGTGATGATGGGTGGTGTTATATATAGTGATGATGGATGGTGTTATAATAGTGATGTGATGGATGATGCTAAAGTGTGGTGATGATGGGTGTTATATGTAGATGATGGGATGGTGTTATATGTAGTGATGAGGTATGGTGTTATGTAGTGATGATGGATGGTGTTATATGTAGTGATGATGGATGGTTTTAAGTATAGTGATGATGGATGGTGTTATATGTAGTGATGATGGGTGGTGTTATATGTAGTGATGATGGATGGTGTTAAGTATAGTGATGATGGATGGTGTTATGTAGTGATGATGGATGGTGTTATATATAGTGATGACGGATGGTATTATATGTAGTGATGATGGATGGTGTTATATGTAGTGATGATGGATGGTGTTATATGTAGTGATGATGGATGGTGTTATATGTAGTGATGATGGATGGTGTTATATGTAATGATGATAAGACAATGAAATAATAACAGTTTAGTGCTAAAAAAATATACTTTGCTGTACCGTTGTAGTGTATCTTACATTCACCGTTAATGAAATATTGATGGAAGAAGAAGTTTTGGGGACTGAACAGTGAGACAATGTGGAGCTTCCCGTAGGGTGGCGTCCTACCATGGCTTAGCAAATGAGCCGCCTTGACCAAATTCGGAATGGATAGCAAATGTTTCCTTGCTTCTCATGGACAGTTCTATGTTGGATGCTCCAGAGTGGGAACTGGCAAAATTCTGTACATACTTGCTGCTAATGGCAAAACCAAAAATGTGGTCTACCCTAATGCACTACAGTGAGACAATGTGGAGCCTCCCGGAGGGTGGCGTCCTACCGTGTGTGTCCGCACGAGAATCTCGGAAACTACTTTACTGATCTGTAATGATGATGGATGGTGGTATATGTAGTGATGATGGATGGTGTTATATGTATTGGTGATGGATGATGTTATATGTAGTGATGATGGATATTGTTATATGTAGTGATGATGGATGGTGTTATATGTAGTGATGATGGATGGTGTTATATGTATTGGTGATGGATGATGTTATATGTAGTGATGATGGATATTGTTATATGTAGTGATGATGGATGGTGTTATATGTAGTGATGATGGATGATGTTATATATAGTGATAATGGATGGTGTTATATGTAGTGATGATGGATGATGTTATATGTAGTGATGTTGGGTGGTGTTATATGTAGTGATGATTAGACAATAAAATAATAAGTTTAATGCTAAAAAATATACTTTGCTGTACCGTTGTAGTGAAAAACATGGTGGAACTTACATACACCGTTAATGAACTATTGATGGAAGAAGAAGTTTTGGGGACTGAACAGTGACAATGGGGAGTTTCCTGATATATATATATATATATATATATATATATATATATATATATATATATATATATATATATATATATATATATATATATATATATATATATATACTGTAGCTCCACAATGGAAAAGGGAAACAATGAAGCACCTTAGCTTTCGTCTTTATTCAAGACATCTTCAGAGGCAACTGAATTTACAGGAACTGAGAGAGGTATATATATAAAGGGTGACCTTACAAAACATTAGGTCAGGTCAATAACATGGGATCCACTAATGTACTGCACACACCACCTCAACCGCACATGAAAGAAGAGCTTATAAAAATGGGTGACGTGACAAATGATGTCAAGTCTGGTCAAAAACATGAGTCCGACTAATCATTTACCCTACATCTGCCTCAAATACTTTCAAAGCATTTTTAACCTGGGGCCACTGACAAATAAATTTTTGTAACATATTATGAGTTTTGTACTAACTATCACTAAGGTTTATAGAATTCATTTCCATAATCAAACTTGATTCAACCAGAAGTCTCTCTGTGACACATGTTGATTTATACACTTCTAAACTGTTTTCCCAATCCATGGGATGATTCTTGTTCCTAACATGAACGAACAGTGCACTGCTTTCAGATGCTGTTCTAGTATTGTACTTGTGCTGTTTTATTCTAAGTTGCAATGCTTTCCCAGTCTGACCTACATAATTTTCATTACATATGCTACATGGAATGCCTTAAACGCTTCCATTTACATTCAGGGTTGGGCTGTTCTTAATTAACATACTAGTAATAGTTGAGTCATACTTAAAAACAACATTAATGATTAATAATTTAAGAGACTGAACTAACGGGACAAATTCATTCCGATAAGGTAGAGTCAAAATATTCTTAAATGTAGGAACTTGTATAGTATGAGTACAATAAAGGGATTTTTTAGGCCTTTTAAGACAACAATCAACAAACAATAAAGGGTACCCAAGTTTTTGTGCAATGAAATGAATGTGTTTCAGTTCTTCTTAAATAAATTCAGGGTCACAAATTCTCAAACTTCTCAAAAGCATAGCAGAAAAACTGACATTTTGGTAGACGCAAGGTGATTCGATATAAAATGTATGAAACTGTCTGCCTATGTAGGCCTTCTGTACACCTTAAATTTATAGTTGTGATCATTACTCATGATAAGTATATCAATAAATGGAAGGGATCCATTTATTTCTCTTTCAATTTTGAAGTTAATATCATTAAGCTTGTCAAAAAATTCCAGTGGGTCACTGTTTCTAAGCCAAAGACAAAGCACATCGTCTACATATCTATACCATGGAGGAATAAAGTCCCCTATATTGGATAGTAATCTAGCCTCAAAAAACTCCATATAAATACAGGCTAAAAGAGCAGAAAAACCATTACCCATGCTCATGCCAAATATTTGCTCGTAAAACTTCCCAATTGCTCTAAAAACATTGTCAGTAACGCATAACTCTATCAATTTGAGAAATGCATCATGTACAATAGTCAAATTTAACAGTAGTAATTTATCTTTAAGGAATGAAAGTAGGTCATTCACTGGTACTCTAGTGAAAAGTGAATTGACATCAAAACTTATTTATTCACATAGTTCATTGTGTTTCTTGAGTTTATCAATTAAATCACTGCTGTTGTGTATATGTGAATGAGATATCTGGCCTGTAAGAGGGGATAGCATCTTAACCAGCCACTTGGATAATTTGTACGTAACAGAACCCACAGAACTCACGATAGGACGTAATGGATTATAAGGCTTATGTGTTTTGATCAATCCATACATATAAGGTAAAGTGGGATTGATTTGTGAGAACTGTTTGATGAGATCGGGGTTCTTTTTCAATAACACCTTCATTTTAGAATTGGACATCTTATTAATATTTTCCAGGGGATCTTTTGTAAGTTCCCAATAAGTGCTTTCATCACTTAGTAATGAATTCATCTCATCTTTAATGTAGCTTTTATCAAAATTACAATAGCATTGTATTTATCAGCCTTAGCAATATTTATATTCTCATTACTTTTTAAGTTTTTCAAGGCTGTTTCAAATATTTTTGAAAAATTTGAAACCATTTTCTTACGTAAAACACTATGTATACAACCTTTAGCGATGGAAATATCTTTATTTGTAGCATCTATCGACTTATTCTTTTCCATTTTGATTATACTTTTAGCAATAGTAAGTGGATTAACTGTGCGCTGAGCAATAGAAAACTTCCTACCATAACCGAGCGCAAGTTTATCATTTGTCTGTAGCTCGTAAGATGATAAATTTATGAACAGATTTAGATCACTCAATTTAGTCAAGTAACTCTAGTCAAACAGAGCATTTAATTTAAATTTAATCTCCTTTTGAGAACAGCAAATAAGCTCACTGGGTCATGCCCATCATGAAGATTGCCTCAGCCATGCTCGAGAGGGCATCAATGATCTGGAGATGGCTTATTAGCAGGTCATGGGTGATCATAATGTGGGGACCTCTCATTGGCCACCCCAAGGTTCTCCTAAGGTACTCGCCTGGGTCCCCAGATCTTCTATACTGAAATAACCCCTTCATATTCTGGACCGTACACAAGGCAGCCACGCTCTCCTCTGTGGAACCTCAGGGGGCTGGCATGCGAGACATAATGAAGTCAATGGTATTATCAAAAGACGCCAGGTCACTGCTGGCTGCCTAGCGTATAAGAACTGCATTGGAAGTATGGCCAACAGCTGGTGCGGAATTTCACAGTTCTTCCACCCTGGTGCTTATTTACCTCTCTCTAAAGTGCAGCTGGAGAAGGGAGTGAGGCAAGATCAAAGGAAAACCAGTAGAAGGCAAAACAGAAGATCTTTGCCACGATTATTACTTTGTCCAAATAGGGTCCGAGACGCTGGGAACCTGGAACATAATGTTTAAAGTTCCTGAATAAGACTTACTGCAGCCACCAGAGACTCCAAGACACCCAGATACCTGTTCCAGTGCCCCAACACACCGATCCAGAGGGGAATTCTTGCTAGTTACTGGTCTCTTTTTCCCTCACTTAAAGGAGCTCCAATGAGTCTCCGGATTATGGTTGGTAGCTGCAAGGCTGTATGGTGACACTTTCCTGGCACTATAGAGCCTTGTGGTGTGCTAGGCTGTAGGGTGACACTTTCTGCACCATAACCTGTGCCAGACTAGGGTGACACTTGCTGGCACTAAGCCTGTGGCAAACACCCACCAACCCAACAACCCACACAAACACCCAAAACAAAACCCACCCAAACCCCACAACCGTGTGCTAGGCTGGGTGACACTTTCTGGCACTATAGAGCCTTGGATAAGCTTGTAGGGTACACTTTCTGCGCTAAAGAACCTTGTGTGCTAGGCTGTGTGACACTTTCCTGGCACAACCACAAACACCTATAGAGCCTGTGTGTGCTAGGCTGTGGGGTGACACTTTCCTGGCACTATAGAGCCTTGAGGTATACCAGGCTGTAGGGTGACACTTTCTTGGCACTATAGAGCCTTGTGGTGTGCTAGGCTTGGGGTGACACTTTCCTGGCACTATAGAGCCTTGTGGTGTGCTAGGCTGTAGGGTGACACTTTCTGGCACTATAGACCCTTGTGGTGTGCTAGGCTGTATGATGACACTTTCTGGCACTATAGAGCCTTGTGGTGTGCTAGGCTGTAGGGTGACACTTTCCTGGCACTACAGAGCCTTGAGGATACCAGGCTGAAACTTGCTTGGCACTATAGAGCCTGTGGTGTGCTAGGATGTAGGGTGACACTCTTGGCACTATAGAGCCTTGTGGTGTGCTAGGGTTGTAGGGTCACTTTCTGGCACTATAGAGCCTTGTGGTGTGCTAGGATGTAGTGACACTTTCCTGGCACTATAGAGCCTGTGGTGTGCTAGGCTGTAGGGTGACACTTTCCTGGCACTATAGAGCCTTGAGGTATACCAGGCTGTAGGGTGACACTTTCTTGGCACTATAGAGCCTTGTGGTGTGCAGGCGTGGGGCACTTTCCGGCACAAGAGCCTAGTGTGCTAGGGACACTTTCCTGGCACGCCTTGTGGTGTGCTAGGCTGTATGATGACACTTTCTGGCACTATAGAGCCTTGTGGTGTGCTAGGCTGTAGGTCACACTTTCCTGACAGAGCCTGAGGATACCAGGCTGTAGTACACTTGCACCAAGCCTTGTGGTCTGGATGAGGACCTTGCTTGGCACTATAGAGCCTTGTGGTGTGCTAGGCTGTAGGGTGACACTTTCTGGCACAATAGAGCCTTTGTGGTGTGTGCTAGGCTGTATGGCGACACTTTCCTGGCACTATGGGCCTTGTCGTGTGCAGGATGTAGGGTGACACTTTCCTGGCACTAAAGACCTGTGGTGTGCTAGGCTGTGGGTGACACTTTCCTGGCACTATAGAGCCTTGTGGTGTGCTTGGCTGTAGGGTGACACTTTCCTGGCGCTAAAGAGCCTGTGTGCTAGGCCAGGAGACACTTTCCTGGCGCTAAAGAGCCTTGTGGTGTGCTAGGCTGTAGGGTGACACTTTCCCGGCACTATAGAGCCTTGTGGTGTGCTAGGCTGTGGGTTGACACTTTCCTAAAACAAAGAGCATTACCGTGACACGGGGAGGGAGCTGAGCCATAACTCATGCGTCGGTGAATTTCTTTGATGTGGAACCTACTTTTATTAAGAATTTTATGACGCTCCGATGTTGACTTTTCCCCAAAAACTTGTAATTTTTCTGAGTCGTGTTACTTTAAACTCTCATTCTGAAATAATAAATCGTATTATATTAGTCAATGTAAATAAAACGTATACCAAGCATATAATTTAATGCTACCAAAAAATCAGAACCTCTGACCTTCTGACGCCTCTCATAGTGTCAAGACGCTGTGGTAGTGAGCAGTTAGGCAGTAAAACTCAGGGTAATGTGTCCACTATTTTTCTGTCATTGAGGCCATCACATAGATACAGTGTATGTATTAGTGTCCACGGAGGAACGGGTGGACCAGGTGGCAGGAATAGTGTGGGTCATCACTCACTTAATATACCTCCTTTGTTCACCTTCTCACCACTATCATCATTATTGTTTAGTGGGCTACTTATCGTTGGTGACATGGAACGATATCGATCATGTATGCGTTTACTTCTTCATCTCTCTCTTCTTCTTATCAGTAAGGCAGGTAAGTTTTAAGGAATATTACACATGAAAAAAGAGCTTCATTATAGAAAGTGTTCAAGTTATCCCTGGTAAGAGACCACTGTCAATGACTTCACAAAATTAATGACGTTGAGTAAATTGCTTCTAAAACAGTGAATCTCTCATCGTGGGCGTGATTAACAACGTCAGCTGAGAGTTATAGGCTTCATTTAACATTATATTGACCGTCATGAGGACGACCACTTACTAACAGGGAGTGTAGTTCTGGTGTGCATGAGTAGTGTAGTTCTTCTGGTGATGACCACTTACTAAATGTAGGTAGTTCTTCATGGGCCGGCGGTTGTTCATGGTGGATGATCCTACACAGAGGTAGTGTAGTTCTTCATGGTGGATGACCACTTACTAACATGAGGTAGTGTAGTTCTTCATGGTGGATGACCACTTACTAACAGGAGGTCGTGTTGTTGTTCATGGTGGATGATCACTTACTAACATGGTAGTGTAGTTCTTCATGGTGGATGACCACTTACTAACAGGAGGTAGTGTAGTTCTTCATGGTGGATGACCACTTACTAACATGAGGTCGTGTTGTTCTTCATGGTGGATGACCACTTACTAACATGAGGTAGTGTAGTTCTTCATGGTGGACAACCACTTACTTACATGGAGTCGTGTTGTTCTTCATGGTGGACAACCACTTACTAACATGGAGTCGTGTTCTTCATGGTGGACGACCACTTACTAACATAGGGTCGTGTTCTTCATAATGGACGACCACTTACTAACATGGAGTCGTGTTCTTCATAATGGACAACCACTTACCAACATAGGGTCGTGTTATTCTTCATGACGGACGACCACTACTTACATGGGGTCGTGTTATCATATGGACGACCACTTACTAACATAGGTCTGTTCTTCATAACGGACGACCACTTACTAACATGGAGTCGTGTTCATAATGGACGACCAATTAACATTGGGTCGTGTTATTCTTCATGACGGACGACCACTTACTTACATGGGGTCGTGTTGTTCTTCATGGTGGACGACCACTTACTAACATGGGGTCGTGTTATTCTTCATGGTGGACAACCACTTATTAACATGGGGTCGTGTTATTTTTCATGGTGAACGACCACTTACTAACATAGGGTCGTGTTATTCTTCATGGTATGGTCGGTCACTCAGTATCATACTCCAGCAGCCGTTTCTTAATCTTTTTTTAAACGGGAAAATTATTCTTAGCTCGAGTGATACCTAACCAAACCAGTCCCGTGAGCAGAAGAGCTGCTGCTCTGGCTGCTCGAGACGTGACTCACCTGAGAAACCAAACGTAAAACACCCTTAATCACAGTTGAGAGGATACAGTATACTGTATATGTTTTATTTTGTTGAAAGTTACATCTACTCTCCATATAGGGACGGTCGTGTTGATAAGCCTGATATAAACTGAAAACGAATAGCCCAATTAATATATTAATTCAAGAACCAAATTCTGGTATAGTTTCTGACCAAAGTACACGACACCTTAAGTGGTACAGAGTAAGTCTTACATAATATAGTTATCACTGTTCAGCAAAAACTTCAGTTGCACTATAATTTACAGTTCAATCGACATTATTCTACAGTGTACAGTTTTATATACGGAAGTACATCAATTCTTGTTATAAATATCATATATATCCGAAATGATAAATAATTAGCAGTTTGAGAGAGAAACAACATATCACCCTGGCGCTTAAAAGCCTGTCTCGGTAGCCTTTAGAGGGCAATGCCACACTGAGGTATTTTATGCTAGTTAACGCCAGACGATTTTATTCCTGCTGAGAACCTCTGCGAAGGTTAACGGGACAGGTTGACACTGGACATATTCACACGTGCGGAGGATGGCGTTCAGTCTCAACAAATCCCTACACACACACACATACTGCCATGTCGGGATGGGCTCTTCACTCTCACTATTGGATAATTTATTTCGTGAGGTTGTTTATGGTTTACTTGTGTAGCCACCACCAAGAGAAGTTCCTCTCACCCTGTTTCACACTACTTGAAATACCAGAGATACAATAGTACCTCTTCGCTAAGCCAGCAGGGTAGACTCTGGCGTGTCAACAAATATTTTTGGTGGCTGGTATAATCTTTAATGGTGGTTTTGAAATTATTCAAAAAATAAAATGTCGGTGTTAAGCAGGTTACAGCTGACTCGAGGCCGGTTATCACCGTGAATATGAACATTTCCGAAAGTTTGTTGTGAAGAAAGACTCCTTCACCTCCAACTCCTGGCAGGGAGGACAACTTTGGGTCGTAATCTCTA